TGTAAACATGTATGAAAGAAATTATTCTACTATGACTTCAGTAACCTTTTTCTGATGAGCTTATGCTATCAATCACAAATTTGAAGTCTGATTTATTAAAATATAGTCCTTAGTTTGTAAATTATGGTCCCCAATAGAGTCAGAAAGGATGATGAAAAAAACCTCAAACTCACCTGAACTTAACCAGAAACTCTTGTTTCATTCAGCATTTAAAAGACTTGTTTGTGTTACTTCACAGGGTCTCACAGGTCTCATAGGTGCCCAGGGAGAAGAGGGGAAGCAAGGACCAGTGGTGTGTAATCAAATGCGTTTACTTTCACCACTTGTAGATTTGCACACACATGCTCAGCAGTAAATGTGTTTCTGTCTTCTCAGGGATCCGCTGGAGACGACGGCAAACAAGGCCCAGCTGGTTCAACTGGAAACAGAGGCCCAGCTGGGCCGATGGGCCTGCCGGGACCAAAGGGCTTCCTAGTCAGTACGAATGAGTGTGGCTAGATAAGCCTAATGAGAGAAGCCAGATGAATATATTTGTGAAAATAAATGCAAAAAAAGCTCCATAATAACACAAAATATGCTGACTGATGGTCCCTGTTGTTTTTTAGGGTGATGCTGGGAAGGCTGGAGAAGCTGGAAGTCCAGGAGCTCCAGGTCAAAGGGCAAGTTAAATCCACAGCTGATACAAATACAGCTCATACTTCCTGCTGAGGCTTCACGCTCTTCATCACAAGCACAAACATGCTGATAAATGCTGCTCTTTACTGTCCTCTAGGGACCAAATGGAAAAGATGGAGAGAGAGGCGCCGCCGGTCCACCTGGCCCAGCTGTAAGCATCCGTCTCAGCTGAGAGTTTCTCATTATTAATAATGTAAACACTTATGTTTTTAATATAATGTGTTTGTTTGTCCTGCAGGGTCTTGCAGGGAAGAGAGGAGAGCAGGGATCTCAGGGAGTGTTTGGCTTCCAGGTACTCTTCATCACATAACGCAAAGAATTTGGCTCCTATCACTGGAGCTCAATCTCGCTTTTAATTCTTTATTTTATTTATTTATTTGTTATTTATTTAACCAGCTAACAAAGGAGATTGGCCACGATTAAAGTCACATCAGAATCAGAATCGTGTTTATTGGCCAAGTATATGTGCAGACACATACAGGGAATTTGGTTCCGGTAGATGGTGGCTCTCAAGCACAGCAATGTAAATCACACACACAC